ATCTGCATCCATACTCCATCAGTTCTTTCTCTGGAGATGGATAGCATTTTTCTTCATAAATCCTTCAGAACTGTCTCGGGTCACTGAATTGCTGAAAACAGCTAAGTTATTCACAGCTATTCATCATGCTGTTACTGTATAGAGTGTTTTCCTGGTTCTGCTCATTTTACTTCACATCAGTTCATGAAAGTCTTTCTAGGTTTTTCTGAGAGCATCCTGATTGTCATTTCTTGTAGCACAATAGAAGTCCATCAAAATCATATACAGCTTGTTCAGCCATTCCACAACTGATGGATATCCCCTCAATTTCCAATTCTTTGCCACCACTAAAACAGCTGCTATAAATATTTTTGTACATATAGGTCCTTTTTGCTTTTTATCTCTTTGGGACACGTCTAGACCTAGTAGTGATATTGCTTGGTCAAAGGGTACGCATGGTTTTATGGCCTCTTCAGAATAGTTTCAAATTATTCTACAGAATGGTTGAATCAGTATACAACTTTACCAACAGTGCTTCAGTATCTTAATCCTCACACACCCCCTCCAATGTTTGGCATTTTCTGTTTCTGTCATATTAGCCAATCTGTTAGGTGTGGGGTGGTAGCTCAGAGTGGTTTTAATTTGCATTTCTCTAGTCAGTAGTGATTTATAGCATTTTTTCCATATAATTATTATTTTCCCTGTATATCCTATTCTCTCTCCTTTCACTCTGTCCATTCTCAAAAGTGTTTTGCTTCTGACTTTTACTTCCTCTAATCTGCCCTCCCTTCCATCAGCCTCCCCACCCCCTTCTGTTATTGCCTTCCTCTCCTACTTTCCTGCATGGCAAGATATATTTCTACACCCAGTTACAGCAGCACTTTAAGTATGATCAATTGTGAAAAAGTGAGCTGCCCTGATTAATACAACAATCCAAGTCAACGCCAAAGGGCCCATGATGAAAAATGCTATCTACCTCCAGCGAGATAACCAGTGAACTCTGAATGAAGACTGAATCATACTTTTTTTACTTTCTTTATTTCTGTCCTTTTTTGTTGTCTGTTTTCTTTTGCAACATGGCTACTATGGAAATATGTTTTGCATGACTTCTTATGTATAACCAATATCAAACTGCTTGCCTTCTCAAGGAAAGGGGAAGGCTGAGAGAGAGTAAGAGAATTTGGAATTCAGAGTTTTAAAAAATGAATGTTAAAATTTTTTTACATGTATTTGGAAAGTGTTTAACAAATAAAAATATATTGGAAAAAAATGCTAGTTTCTTCCCTTCCCTGTTTCTCCATCTTCCCCCCGCCTCCTTCACCTACTATGTTCTTCACTGCTGCCTAAAAACATCCTCAGGTTTTTCCCATCCTTAAACCTCAATTTGCTCTGCTGTCCTCTGAAGATAACGTTTCCTTCCACTACGCCTTCTGTGACTTTTCCTCTCTTGTTAAAAATTCCCCATCATCTTAGATATCTTCTTCTCATACTCTTTCCCTTTTCTGGTACTCATAGAAATTTAATTTTCTCCAGAAGACCCTTTAATTCTCGAACTGCTCCAGTGCTGGTGCTTCTTTTATTCTCCATGATTGTCCCAGTTTGACAAGGGAGCAGACTTCTGGCTCCCCACCACCACTTCTAGACCATTTCCCTGCTGCCATCACTCAGCCATCTGTCCATGCTTGAGGTTCATTTCATTTGCCGATGTCATTTGTCCAGATCTTTGTTGTCATCATCTACTGGCCTCTAGGTCACTCTTCTTCCTTCATGAAAAAGTCTGGTTCCTGGCTCAGTCTTCTCCTCTCTCCTTAGTCCTTTCCCTCATACTTAAGAATTTCAATATCCATGCTGTTATGCATTCTATCATCTTTACACAAATGACTCCTAGATGTATATATCCCTTTGTAACTGGCTTTCTAAACTCCTATCCTACATCACTATATCTGCTGGACACCTCTATCTCAACATCCCAAAAGCATCTCAAACTCATGTCTAAAATAAACTCATTTTCTTCTCGCACCTAATTCTGTTACTCTCCTGAATTTCTCATTTCTGCCAAGGGCACGTCAGCCTTGCAGAGGCTCACAGCACTGGACTTCCTTTACTCATTCTCTTATCCCTATGTGCAAACAGCAGCCAAATTTTATTAGTTCTGCCCTGACAATATTTCTCATACGCCTTTACTTCTTTTGCTCACATGAACACCACCGTAATTTAAGCTTTCAATACTGCTTACTTGGACTGATGTGATAGGTTCTTAATTGGCCTTCTTGCCTGTAGTCTCTCTTCTCTTCCATTCACCAAAAAATTCTATAGAGAGTTCAACTGTTTGAGCTCTCCCGCTCAAAATCATTTAGGGACCCCCTATTGCCTCTAAGATAAAATATAACACTGACATTTAAAGTCCTTAATACTCAAGCTCCTACTTTTCTTTCTAGTTTTATTTCATATTACTCCTAATTCACGTACTGTCCAAATTATACTACTAACTCTTATCCCAAATGGACATTCCATTTTTCCCTTCAGTCAGTTATGACAGGCCATGCCTGGAAGGCACACTTTTAGAATCCTTAAAGTGATTCTTGGTTCAGGTGCCTTCCACAAACAGTATTTGCTTGTACTCTCTTCTTCCAGAGATTACCTTTATTCTGCTTTTCTATGTACATGCCGAATCCCTCCTGTAGAATATAAGCTCCTTAGAAGAGTTCTATTTCTGTACCCCCAACAGCTAGCACAACAGTGCCTTGCACAGAACAGGTGCTGGATAAATATTTGTTGAGCTGAACTCCCAAATATGCCCAAGTCCCAAAAAGGAAGCTAAGTGACTTGAAGAATCTGGAGGCTTTATACAGGAAAAGATAACAATGTGTGAATTATCTGAGGCTCAGCTAAATTTTATTTTTAAAACTATTAGTCCAGGAATTTAAAAACTAAAGTTGTTATTTTGTTTTTAAATATATTGAAGTACAAGTGACACTGCTTCTAATACTTCCCACAGATATATGGAGAGTTCTCAATAACTATCCCAGAAAGGATGGAATGATACTTTAAGAGTCTGGACACAGATGCTTTCATGACTGCAATAAAAGAAATGACTGGCCAGAGAACTGAAGAGTTCTCTAAAATTATGAAAACCTCAGTGGTAGAACAAGTATCTGCTGATGAAAAAAGATAGTCCGACTCCAGTAACGTGAAGACATGAGACTGCTCTTTGGAAGCCAAGACCAAAGACACCCAGTCAGTTTTAACACATTAAATACCACTGGTTTATTGTGGTAAACAAATAGCTAGAAAGCCAAATACGGGCCAGGGTACATGAATCAGAGAAATTGTGTGGTTTGTAAATGACCACATAGAACATTTAAAGCAATGTTCTTAGGAGGTGGAGAAAAAAGACTTGTAGTGAGTGACTGAATCAGCATCATAGAATCAACACGCAGTTCAGATGTTCTGTCTACGGGCAATTATCCATGGAAAGTCTCCAGAATGTTACACCACTGCTTGTGGAACTTGCTGAGCTGAAGCCGCAGGAATTGGACAAGTGAAAGACCACCCAGCATTTCTGAACAATCTGTTCCTTATATATTTGCAGAGATAATTTTCCAAACCAAATAAATTGCTGGTGGAGAACCTGCTATAATATGTAAAAATAAGAAGGAATGAGGTTAGTGGCTGCTTTGTAGAGCCAATGTTTTCAATTTTCTGTCTGTTCATTGGTGGGTGAAGTGTTCTGTTATTTCTAAGCAAATACCTACTTTCCTCCACTCTGTCCTGAAAGAATTTTGTTAGGTTTCAAAAAGAATGCTGAAGCGGCACTCTCTTCTGATTTGAGGTTGGTTCATTTTTAGGGTTTTGGTAAATGAGGGAAAAGAAAAGTTGCTGAAATTAAAAATAAGGAGTCATCTGTATTTTAGCAAAATATACTTCTGTAAGTTAGCAAAATGAACTGTTTAATAGAACTAGTAGAGGTTAAGGTAGAAACAAAAAAAGAAGGCAATTTATTTAAAAGCAATAGTCCTTTGGAAAATTTTCAGTAAATGTATAAAGGGAGACAGACAAGAGATAACATAAAAGTATTTACTTTGTTGACTGATGTACATGAGGCAGGCTTAAACAATTACCGGGACTCAATGAGCACTTATGAGACACATCAAAAAAAAAAAAAAAAAAATGACAGCTAAGCAGACTTCAATGAAAATTTAGAAAATTTACTATGTCATTTTCACAGAAACTTCAGGATGCTGGGAGAGAAAAAAGTAGATAGATTTCTGAGCATTAAATGCCTGCTCTAGTATTTGACAATGATTGATTTACCATAATTCTCTTCATAAATATGCTTTAATAACACACAGACCCATAATCTTTCAAGTAAAATGAATCTAAAATGCTATCTATTTCCAGAAAAGCATCTCTCTCTGATTTTTAAGGACTATATAAAGAAAAAATAAAACATTTTTATGATATCACTTTTCTGGGTTTGTTACTGAAAGTAATGAATTCTGAGGTATTTTTATTTTTCAAAGCACTACTCTTTGTAGGGAACTTTACATGTCCATAACAGTCTACCAGTTCTCTCCAAAGATTTTAAAAGTACTGAAAGAATTCAGGATTAAAGGAAGTAAAGAAACCCTAAATTCTAATAATGATTAAATCATGTATTATTAAATCATGAAAAATTTTGTTACTATAATTATTAGCATAAACAGGCATCTTTTACAAAATATAATTAAAGCAAATCCTGAAGAGTTTTTTCAATCTCATTATTTGAGACTGACAATTTATTTGAGAATTTGGAATTCAAAACTTAGGGAAAAAAAAAGCCTGAATGTTAAAAATTATGTACTTACTAAAACAGCATTTATTTATCTTGAGGAAAGAAAACAATATTTCAAATAATTCTAAAGAAAATTACTCTAAATTTGGAAATATAGCTCCACATTTCTGTACATTTGCCTATATAAAGTCAAAACAACAGAAACATAACATGAATGGGGGACAAGAACACATTTTATGTGACTTACTGCAAAAAGGCTTCATTTACACCTTCCAAAAACTCAGAACACAGGATTTCCTTGGGCTCATCTCCATGGTAGGTAAGCAAAGCCTCCAGCAGAGGCAAGATATCTGGCAAAGTGAGGAGTGGGACACAAAGCAGGGACATGGCCTTTATTTGTCTGTCTGGAATTCTGATAATAAGAAATAAGATAAACAAATATACATTCTTTAAGACCATATTTAATCATGGAATTACAAAATATTTATACTAAAAGAAACCATAAGATATCTGTTTCATATTTCCAACTTCAAGTTGGATAATCCCTAAACCATGAAAATCTCTCTCTCTTACTTTTTAAAAGAAAATTCTACAGCCTTCTTTTGTGACCATTGCAATGTATACAACTCTTGTAACTGGGAATTTAACTCATACTTTTACTTTGTTTTGTTCTAAAAGAAACAGAATAATGGCTATATACCATCATTATTTATCAAACATTATCTATTATGTGTAATGTTCTATGTGAGGGAGAGCAGAAATTTTTTTGAGATAAGGTTAATTAAACAAACATTTTTTGTTTGCTGCTCAGTCATTTCAGTCATGCCCAACTCTTTGTGACCCCATTTGGAGTTTTCATGGTAAAGATACTGGAGGGGTTTGTCATTTCCTTCTCCAGTGGATCCATTCTGTCAGGCAAACAGAGGTTAAGTGACTTGCCAAGGGTCACACAGCTAGGAAGTGTCCGAGGTTGGATTGGAACTCAGATTTTCCTTACTCCAAGGCCCAGTGCTATATCCACTGAGCAATTCTACTATCTCTGAAGAACAAGGAGAAGTTATCTTTAAAAATAAATGTAAAAGCATAGGAAATTCATTGACTAACTTCAATTTTAAAACTATATGTACACAGAAAATTGAAATAAGAGCAGATAAGTGGAGAGTAAAAGCTAAAGCATGAAACAGTCTTGCCAGGACCGTGTCCAGAGTAATAAAGTTCAGAGTTAACTGAGACAAGTAAAGGAAACTATGAGTAACAAAGAGAAATTTTAAAGCAATAGTTGGGAAAATAAATGCATCAAAGAAGGGGCAGGATATGAGTCAAATCTATAAGAATACAAGTAATTCCCCAACTGATAAATGGTCAAATGATATCAACAGGCAGTTTTCAGATGAAGAAATCAAAGCTATCTATAGTCATATGAAAAAAAGCTCCAAATCACTATTGATTAGAGAAATGCAAATTAAAACAATCCTGAGATACCATCTCACACTCATCAGATTGGCTAATATGACTAAAAAGGAAAATGATAAATATTGGAGGGGGTTGTGAGAAAACTGGGACGCTAATGCATGGTTGGTAGAGTTGTGAACTGATCCAACTATTCTGGAGAGCAATTTAGAACTATGCCCAAAGGGCTATAAAACTGTGCATACTCTTCGATTCAGCAATACCACTACTAGGTCTGTATTCCCAAAGAGATTAAAAAAAGGGGGGGGAGGAAGGACCTATTTGTACAAAAATATTCATAGCAGCTCTTTTTGTGGTGGCAAAGAATTAGAAATTGAAAAGATGCCCATTAGTTGGGGAATAGTTGAACAAGTTGTGGTATATGATTGTAATGGAATATTATTCCATATAATACGAAATGACAGGCAGGATGATTTCACAAAAACCTGGAGAGACTTACATGAACTGATACAGAGTGAAGTGAGCAGAACCAGGAGAACACCATACACAGTAATAGCAATATTGTATGATGAACAACTATGAATGACTTAGATATTCTCAGCAATACAATTCGAAAGGAATCATGATGAACAATGCTATCCACCTCTAGTCAAATAACTGATGGTATCTGAATACAGATTGAAGCATACTATTTTTCACTTTTTTTGGTTTAAGTTTTCTTCCACAAAACGACTAAAATGGAAATGTTTGACATGATTACACATGTATAACCTATATCAGCTTGCTTACCATCTTAGGGAAGGGGGAGGGGAGAGGGGGTGGAGAGATAGAATTTGGAATTCAAAACTTAAAAAAAAAAAAAGCCTGAATGTTAAAAATTATTTTTACATGTAATTAGGGAAAAAATTTAAAAAAAAAATTTTTTTTAAAAAGGAGGGGCAGGATCACTGTTTCAGGTGAATAAGACAATGATCCCTGATTTCCTAATGAAGGAAAGAGGGCAAAGATACTCAACACTTACTTTGCTTCTGTTTTCTCTGCCAAAGAGAATAATTTTTGACTAGAAAATACTAAAGAAAAATTTCTCAGATCATTGCCCTAATTATCCTTAGGGAAAAGGACATCTAGTTCCTTTGATGAGTACAAATGAACTGAAAATGACTTATGAGATTGCTGAGTCACTGTCAGTGATCCACAAAAAAAAGGAAGGGTATCAAAGAAGTAGAAAAGGGCAAATGTTGCCCTTACTTTAAAAAATGGAGTAGAGTCTACAAATAATAGACCAATGCATTTGACTTGTATTTTGTCAAAATTCTAACTCTTATTATTTAATGGATGACTATTAACATCCGGAAAAGGAAGTGATCACAAAGGAATGTAGCTTCGCTCTGATCAATACCATGACTGGCTTTAAAAGAATGATGGTGCCGCATGTTTCCTGGCTCTCAGCAGACACATGTAGACTAGAAGTTTGGAATGAGACCGAAGTTTTCAGAGAGAGAGAGAGAGAGAGAGAGAGGTATTCTTTCTTGACTTATTTGTTACAAGGGGCAAGGCAAGGAGGGGAATGAGATGTGGTGAGTCAGTGGGAATTGAGAGATATAGGAAAGAGTATCAATAAAACAGTTAAAAAGACAAAAAAGACTTAGAGAGACTGAAATAGTTATGATATTTTACAAGAATTACTTAATTTTTTAAACTGTAAGCAGGTTCAAAGTACATTTAATTGATTGCACTGATCTTTTATGTTATTTCTATTACTTAAAAAAAATAAATTTTAATACAAAAATGGGTAGTGCTAGACAAACTGCAATTCTTTTCTCAATTACCTTGTTCTTGGCATGCATGAATGAATGAACAAACAAATAAACAAAAGAACCCTTAAAAAAAATCTCTTATAAATTTGATAGAGAGATATGAGCTAGCCAACAACATAGCTATAATAACTTTTTGTGGTGGCAAAGAATTAGAAATTGAAAAGATGCCTATCAGTCAGGGAATGGCTGAACAATTTGTGGTACATGATTATAATGGTATATTATTGTGCTATAAGAAATGTAAGCAGGGAGATTTCATGTTGCAAGGTTTGCAAAGCACTTTACAAATTTTACCTGATTTGAATCTCACAATAACCCTGGGAGATTGGTGCTATTATTACCCCCTTTTTACACTTGAGGAAATTAAGGCAGTGGTTAAATGACTTCGTAAGTTTCTGGGGTAGCATTTGAATGCATGTTTCTTGACTCCAGGCCTGAGCTCTATCCACTGTGCTATACAACTAATCACAAATGTAAAGATGGCTGCATTACTAGACCAAAAAACAAAGAAATGATCAATGGTTCTCTACTGGATGGAGCACGTCAGGAATTTGTGCCCGTGCTTGACCTTAAGTCTAACATTTTTAACAGTGATGTGGACAAAGGCATAGGTGGCAGGCATGATTACTAATTCTACAGACGATGCAAAGCTAGGAGGAACAGCTAACACAATAGGAAAATGTTAGAAAGCTCCACCAAATATTTTAAGATGAAATTTAATAGGGTTAAGTGTAAAGACTTAGATCCAAAACAAATCCACCTGTGTAAGATGAGAGATAACATGGCTAGACAACAGTTTATGTGAAAAGGTTCTAGAAGTTTTAGGGTCACACAAACTCAATTATTAGTGAATCTTGGTGTGATATGAACAGCATCCTGCACATGGGAGGCATTTACTAAACTAGAAGGGAAGGGAATAAGCATTGATACAGCACCTACTATAAACCAGGCACTGTGCTAGGCACTCTCCAGTTATAAATTCATCTGATCCTCACAACAACTCTACACTAGATAGGTGTGATGATTATTATTCCCATTTATAACTTAAGAAACTTGAGGCAAAGGTGGAGTGACTTGCTCAGGATTACACGTAGGCTGGTAAGTGTGTAAGGCAGGATTTGACCTCAGATCTTCCTGACTCCAGGCTCTCTATACCATGACTCCAGCTGCTTCAAATAATAAATGATCTTGGCCAAGTCACTTAACTTCTCTCTGGCTGGATTTTCTCCTTTGAAAAATAAGGGGGGCAGCTAGGTGGTGCAGTAGATAGAGCTCCGGCCCTGGAGTCAGGAGGACCCGAGTTCAAATCTGATCTCAGACACTTGACACTTACTAGCTATGTGACTCTGGGCAAGTCACTCAACCCCAACTGCCTCAACAACAACAACAAAAAAAGTAAGGACAATAACTGTAGTACTTCTTTTATAAGGGCTGTTGTGAAGGAGAATAAAGTGAGGCATTTATTAAGCATTCTGAAGACTTTGTAGTACTACGTTAAGTATCTGCTATTATTGTTACTGAAATGAATGTGGTAATCTAAAAAGCAAATGAGAAATAAAGATGGAGGCAATAAAGTTTGGTAAGTATTGAAGCATACACTGAAATCTCGAGATGTGTGACGGAAGAGAAGAGACCAAATGCTTGAAAAAAGCATGGACCCATTCCCTGAAAAGGCCAATGAGAAAACATCAATCCCTTCCAATTCATATGGCTGCTTTCCCATCTTTTATAAAATCTCTACCAAAATAATCTGCATATTCATCCAGAGCATCCTTGATGAAGAATGAGAAGGGAACTGACAAACTTTTGCAAATGAAACTGTATAGCAACTAGCACCCTTCCCAAATGGAACTGGCCACAGTAGGAGGGAATCCTTTTCCTCCTCACAAGAAGTATTCAAGTAGAGTCTGACTCAGGCCACTGGGTGGATATGGTGTAGAGGGATTATTCTTCAATTTCAACTTAAACTAGGCAGCCTCTGAGGCCCCTTCCAACTCTGAGATTCTGAAAAAGGCAAGCCCCTTCATTCAGAGTATTGTCTAGATAGTTGTTGGTGAAGAGAATAGAGCGCTAGGTCTGGAGTCAGACCTGAAGGCCTGAAGTCAAAGCTGGCTTCATAAGATAAGATACTAATTGTGTAAACATGGGCAAGTCACTTAACCTGTCTGCCTCCTTCAGTCTCTTCATCTACAAAGTGAGGATAATGTAGCGCCTCCTTCCTAGGGTTGTTGTGAAGACAAAATGAAATAATATTTATAAAGGGCTTTGCAAACCTTTAAGCACTATATAAATGCTGTTATTATTGCTATTGACTAAACCACTAAATGTTCTAGAAGGTGCTTCAGATGAAGAGAAAAAATTAAAAAATGAGTGGAATGGTCAAGGACAAGAATGGTTCCAAAGCTTTTGCTTTGGATAAAGGGGGAGTCAAATGTTAAAGAAACATAATTAGCAACATAAATTGTAGAAATTTTGTAGTAGTTGGGGTGGCAGGAAGCAAACAAGCTTCCAACTCCTATGTAGCTGTTTCCATTGACCCCTTTCCCCCTTCCTCCTCACTATCATCCCCATCTCACATCACTCTGACACCTTCTCCCACTATCTCCTTTTTCTACTCAAATTTACTTGGATGATGAGGTGGCCTTGCCAAAGTCAACCCACTCTGCTTTGATCCCATTCTTGTCCCCCTGGCCCCATACTCTTTTGCAGATTGCCTAATGGAATCTTTTTACATATTCATCATATGAGTACATTTATGGTTTTTTCCTAGAATTTTAAAACATCTATCTCAAAATTTAACTGGTTCATTTTAAAACTTGGGAGGTACCTACATTTTTTGAATGCTAAATCCATTAAGATGATTCACTCTGAGTTCAGTCACTAATGATAAGACCATCTGTAAAACAAAATCAGTGACAGGTTAATACACATTGCAAACAGGATGAGATTAATTCTGTTTTGCTGATGTGAGTGGCATTTCCGGAGAGGTTTCACTCCCCAAACCTCTCCATTTGTTTTATTTTGTCAGAGCCATATGAAAACTGCACAAAGATACATTTGATTAACTGTGATTTTGTTTAATGTCCATGCTATCTTATTTCTGTTTAAGCATATGAACAAAAATTAGATTGTCTTTCTTAACTGGCAAAAACTTGTTCTCTAGGACAAGGGAGGTTTGAGGGGAATGCTTTTGGTGAACTAAAAAAAAAAAGTAAATTGTAAATATTTAATGCTTAAAGTTTTCAAAGGACTCACTTGATCAACAAATACATGAAAATCTTAGCTTACTTTTTATTTTATCTTTCAAATTTTCTTTTACCACGAACTTCATAAACACCAACAAATAGAAGTATAAATGTTTCCCTATATGAAGACTAGAAAGAGGCTTGTATAAGAAACTATGACTCTATTACATATAGAATATTAAATATATATTAAATTTAAAATGAGTGACAACATTGTGTGGTTAATGATTTTACGTGTTTATTTTATATCCTGCTACTTTACTAAAGTTATTGTTTCAACTAATGTTTTAGTTGAGTTGTTAGGCTCTTGAAATAAGTTGTCTTATCATCTGTAATCGAGTTATAATTTCATTTTTTCTTGTCTTACGCTTATTCCCCCAATTTAATCTTCTTGTGTGAGTACTACTGCTAACATTTTTTGAACTACATAAAATAATATTTCCTGTAGTACTTTTTTAAAATTACACCATAGAAATTATTTAATGAACATTTTTGCAGCAAAGAACATAACTATCACTAAGACGTGTTATATGATTCAATTTATAGCAGTATTATTTATTCTCTACCATAACATGAAATCTTAAAAAAAAAAACCTAAGGTTTTCTAAAATGTAGGATTTGTCTAATACTACCAGGCACTGTTTATATGAGTCAAGGAAGCTTATTCTAAAACATTTGGATGAACAAATGCACTATGTTTAAATTTTTAAAAAACTTAAGATTTAGTATAGTCTTTCCAGGCTTCCTTCTCCCTTTTCATAAACACCTCTTTCAAATTTCTTCCTTAAATGGCCATATGTATGTCCAAGGTAAGAAGATATAAACAGAGCACAGATAAACATCCTTCGTGGAGTAGTGAAATATTTCCATTTACCTTTTTACTGATTCTGTGTTTGACAATGGAAACCTTAATACTAATAAAGTACTCACATTTTTTAGCAATTTAGGATAATAATCTGGAGACGTATACCCAAGAGCTTGACTAATAGTTCCAACTTCATTAAGTCCAAGTTTGGATGATGAAAGCAGATGGCATAATAAACTCTAAAAGAATTATTGGAAAGAGAAAGAATTAATGATCTTTAAAAAGTATATGTTTCTTATACCTTATAGACAGATTATGGTCTATACAAATGGTCTAGTCCAGTAGCATCAAATTTGAATAGAAATGGAGGCCACTAAACCATACATAAGGATCTTTATGGGCAGCATATTGACCTAGAAAACTACATATTAACCGTATTTATGTTTTACTGTATTTTTACTAAATATTTCCCAATCACATTTTAATCTAGTTTGGGCTGTACTTGGTGTATATTATGGGCCCTTTTTATGACAAGTCTGGTCTAGTCTGTCTGGCAGATGGTACCTAGTTACAAGCAGAAAACAGTGTAATTCAAGACTTGAATAACAGTGAATTTAATTTTAAAAAAATTTCAGCTGACAAAATTACACTTTTTTAAAATGTGTGATCTAACATCAATCTGAAATAATAAAATTCCCTTCACTAATTTAGAGACAAAAATTTTACGAGCTTACGGAGAAATCATTTTGTTTGTTTTAGAGCCTTTTTCTATCATATTTTAAAAAGGTGCGTTCTGTGGAAACAGATATTAAAAATATAAGACTGTATCCAAAGCACATTAATTCTACAAATTCCTTGAAAGAGGGGATAAGATTTTAAAAGGCAGAGACTGAGAAAGAGGGGCAGGCAGAAAAGAGAAGACATCTCTGGCATAAGCAGTGGCATGAGCATGAGAGAATGGAGGCAGAAAAAGGAGTGGGTACATATAAAAAATGTCAAGTAGTCCATTTGGGCTGGAAGGGTTTGTTATGAATCTAGTTGAGAAGACTACCTTCACACATAAGAAACAAATGGAGAATAATTAACTGTTTTAGTACATGTACTTAAGAGAACAAGAAAAGTTTTGGGGAAAAATATCTGTATGGGTTGGAATAACTGTAAAGGATTAATGAAGGATTTGGGAATTTAAATTTAGATAGGTAGAGAGGAGATGGGAAGCAGAAGGAATAGATAATACAGGAGAACAAAGTGTAATTCAGACAATAGAACTTGGTAATAGGGTGGACTGTATGAAGGACAGCAAGGAGACTGTACTTTTACTAACTAGAATGTAAGTTTTATGTCAGGGACCTTAGGAAATAAAGCTGGACAAATAAGACAGGGAAAACATGAAGAGGAGGTCTGAGTGGATATTTAAGGAATAAGGAGTCACTCTAAATTTATGAGGACAGGAGTGCCAAGATAAAAATTGTATCTGTGTCACAAATTAATCTGGCAATAGTATGCAGAATGGATTGAAGAAGAGAAACAGGGAGAGGAGGGGGTAAGAAGTGATGAGTCAGGAGATTATTATTAAAAACTAGGCATGAGGTTCCAGGATCATAGGATCACAGACTTAAAACTAGAAGGGGCCTTCTTTACAGAGGATCTGGTTAGGACCTCCCTCCTCTGCCATTTTATAGATGAGAAAACTGATATATAGATCTAGATGTAGATGTGGATGTAGATATAGATATCTCACAGAATTTAGTAGAAACATCAGGAAGGTCTGCCTTCTTTAAGGTTTGAAGCACTGCCAGGATTACTTGGTAGGGTAGTTGTTTCTGTCTGAGTGATTAATAGTGAATGTTTGTGAGTTCATAACTTACTTGAATATTAAAAAACTAGATTTCCTCATCTTTTCACCCTATTAGCAATGGCAAATAAGTTCTGAGTTTCCAAACTAATAAGGTAAAAAGCTGAATTTTTCTTTTTCTTCTTTAAAGATCCTACAATATAGGAGGTAGAGTGCAATAAGCCCTGGCTCTGAAGTCAGAGGAACCAGATTTGAACTCTGAAGTCGAACCTTAAGAAAATCATTTAACCTCCCTGGGCCTCAGTGAGTGTGTCTTAAGTCTATATCCCTGTCTAAGTCTGGTTTTTTCCTACTGCCCTAACATGAATGAGAATCAACGTTCATCTAGATGAAACCATGGCCTCAGTCAAACTCAGACATGTTAAGGACCTTGGCTTAAAAAGGCCATGGTCCCCCACTGCATCCTGGGCCATATCTGATCCATCCTGATGCACATCTGGCCACTGGCCCCAGATGGCTCCAGAGGAGAAAGTGAGGCTGGTGATTTTGCACATTTCTCCCTCACTTAAATACAATTCACTTGCATGCCATGGCATCACCTCCCTGATGTCATGGTCTTCTTTGAGAACAAAGAACAAACAGCAGCAGCAGATGAAACCATTAACATTCATCACAAAAGAACCTTATAAATCCATATACAGCTTTGTGTTTCTTTATTTAGCATTACCTCATTATATAACATCTATAACAACACATTAAATTTCTTTTAAAAAGATTTATATGCATGTAAAAACAGCAAGACTAATTTTTCTACTGCCACCTAGTGGCATAAAGCTTAAAATTATGAAGAACATAAGGTACTTTGGGGTCAGGACCTTTGGTAAGAAAAAAATTTGAAATGGAAGAGACAGTAAAAGGAGTGAATAATGGTAAAGGTTCTAACTCAGAGAGGCTAATAGCATTAATAGCATAATAATCTAAAATACTTTAAGCGTGTGCAGTGTAACTAAGTGAAAATATCAGCGGCCACATTAGCACTGGGGTCCTTATCTTCTACAGCATCACTTTTATCTATTTAAAAGAAAATTTTTTTTTACAAAGGAAATTCTGTTTATGTAAAATAGAACTTAAAATATTAATGGCATGAAGATGAATTTTCACAAGTAGAAATTTTGAAATATCACTGAATGGATGGCTAGAAGACACCTCAGAAGCAATCTAATTCAACTCATGCCCAGAAGGAATCTCTATTATAACAGATGACAAGGCCGCCCATTCTGCTTTTAGATAGCTCTATTTGTGACAATGCTTTTCTTGACTTCAAGCTTAATTTTGACTCTTTGTAGCCAAATAGCCTAAATTTAATCCCAGATGACAGCCCTTCAAATACTGAGAATAGCCATCATGTCCAAATAATCTTCACATCATGTAGACTGAAGGCCCCATGCCTTTCTGGCTGCCTTCCCACTGAATAGTCTTCAGCTTGTCAATAATAATTTTTCTACTGCCACCTAGTGGCATTTGGCCAAAAATAGAAAAGAAAAGAATGGAAGATATTTTGAAGATAAGAACTTTGATAAGAATAAATTATTAAGTAGAAGAGGTAGTTCACATAAGGCAGTGAATGCAAAAATGAAGGTTCTGACTCAAGAGAGTCTAAAGATGCCTTTTAAATTATAGTGCCCAAATCAATTACCATTTATTAAGAAACTACTCTGTGGCAGGTATTGTGCTAGGTGCTGAAATAAAAAGACAAAAATGAAATTGTCCTTGCCACCAAGAAGTTTATATTCTATTGAGAAAACAGCATGCTCATAGACAATCATATGCAAAATAAAGAGCAGGTAAGCAGCAGTTGGGAGGATCAGGACAGGCTTCCCAGAGAAAACCTTTTCAGTCTGATTATTCCACTATGAATAAGATCATAGATTTAGAGCATTAAGGGACTTCAGAGGTCATCTAGCCCAACTCTTTCATTTTATATGAGGAACTAAATAAGGCCCAGGTCCAGAGGCCTTAATCAAAATCACACAGGTAAAATGATAAGTTTTCTTTCTTACATTTTTCTTTGTGAACTTTATAAATCTACAAAACAGCATCTGAGTATTGAAAGGAACCTGAGGTTGAGGTACATTTTTACTTCTAATAGATCTTTGTTTTTACTAAGTTGTTTCAGCTGTGTCTGACTCTTCATGACCCCATTTGGGATTTTGTTGGCAAAGATACTGGAGTGGTTTGCCATTTTCTTCTCCACCTCATTTTATAGATGAGGAACTGAAGCACACAGGGTTAAGTGACTTGCCCAGGATCACTCTGCTAGTAGGTGTCTGAGGCTAGACTTGAACTCTAGGCTCAGTGCTCTATTCACTGTATCCAATCTATCCACCTAGCTACTCCTCTAATAGATCTTAGAGCAGAATAATTCCATGCCACTGTCTAACCTATCAACCAGAAAATTTACAATGAGGTTGGGGCTCAGTGGAGACTATGTGTTCTGGAAAACAGAAAAGGCCATATGGGAAGCAGCTGCAAGGGATATTCTCCTGAAAAAAATACCTTCTGAGGCACACTTAAATGAAATGGGACTGCATTGCTATGTATTTTTAGTTTGTTTGCCAATCTCATAACTCAAACAAAACAAGCAAGCCTTGTTTGTTAGAGTAAAATGTAATAGTTTAGAAAATTTAAATGCACCATTTTTCCCAATCATTCTTCATTCTTAAAATATTTTTCCCTTAATTGAAACATTGCTCATTCTATCTTAAACCCATAGGTTATTATTTTATTGTAAACAGCATTTATTCATTCTTTAATCTAGAGAACAGGAAAAGGGCTTGAACACTGGGCAAATATTTTTATAAATATAACTTTCTTCTGCTATGGTATTGCTCCTTTGGGCACATTACTTTGTCAAATTAATGACAGGATTAGACTTCTAATTTCACTGGTATAGGGAAATCTTGAAATGAAAAAACCCCCTTTATGATATAGGTCAGTACCTCGTCTGCACTCTAAGGTTTCAGAGAGTTAGCAAGAGCACTGAGAAGTTAAATGATTTGTCCAAGGTCACAGAGCCAGAATGTAAAGACTTAGACTGGCTCCTGAGATCAACTTTTTATTTATCCACTATGTCACACAGCCTCTCAATTAAGCTTTTCAAATGAAACTATGTATAAATGAGTTAGTAAACATTTTCCAAAATTAAGGAGTAAAATAAGCTTATTTTCTTAGTGTTTAAATTCACATCACACATTTTACATTCCCCTCCCCTCAAAAAAAAGCAATTTGCAAGTTATTTAGAGACAACAATATGATACAGAATAGACAAAAGTTTGCAATCTCAGGCTTCATTAAGAGAAGCCCAAGCATAGGAGCAGGCAGATGATGGTCCTCTGCTCAAGACATACTACATCTGGGGTCCTATGTTCAATTCTGTGTACATTT